CATGCCAGAACAAAATGTAAAAATTGGCAAAACTCAGTAGTGTGTGTCTTTCTGAGGGATAAATCAAAATAAAAAAAGGACTCGGGTGAAAAGCTGGAAGTTTCATAAGATGTATTTAAACTCTGAAGGCCTTTCAGCATGAATTTTCGATTTCTGATATTGGATGAAATGGTTTTCATTATTATTGTTATCAAAGTAGATCTTGGGGTTGATTCATATGTGGTTTCGATGTTGTTTTAATGTTGGTTGAAGTTGTTTCCTAAGATCTCTTCAAAGGAAAATGTCTTATACTTGTGTGATGTTATCTTAGAAATCACAGTGGATTTTTTTTGTTTGTTTGTTTTTTGAAAGGTAAGCAGCATTTCCCAAAGCTACTGGACTTGAAAGCATGGTTGAAGTAAATATTTTTAATTTTAATTTGGCTGTCACCAGTAAGTTGTTTCTAATAAGTAATAACCAAAACCTGATGACATTTTACAATTTCTGGATGGAGGCATTGATTGTTGTAGAATACTGGATCGTTAAAGCAAGAGAGACAGTGAATCTGCTAGCCTGCTGTATTTTTTTTTCCAGCAGTTTCAGAGAAAGCAGTTCTGATAAGAATGCACTGATAAGAATGGCTAATTTGAATCCTTATAATATATTTCTTAATTTCTTGTTTTTAAGCTAAAGTCTAAGTTTATTTTAAAACAAGCAAGCCAGACATTATCGTCTAGTAAAAATATTATTATTGAGAAAGCACATATGCCAAATGGCCTCCTTCTCAACGACTTAAAAATACTAAGTCAAATAAGAAAAAAAAAAAAAAATTCTGAGGATAGGGAAAATTTTAAGAACATTTTGCAAGATGCCAGTACCTGCATTTGCAAAAACATATGTGGCCCGCCTACCCTTCCAGTTAAAGTTGTCCTGAAAGGGAGATGAAAGCAAAAGTAAGTTGAGTATAAGCAATTTGGTAGGAGTAGTAAGAGTTTGTTAGCAATTACTGTAAATTCTATAAGTAAAATGAGAAGAAGTAGTAATAAATCTGCGGCCAGTTGTTCAGATGCAAACATGCAAACCGAAGTGAATAGAAGCTTATCATTGATTTAAATAGTAAAGGATATGGTCTATACAGATGGTTTTAATAAACTCATTTGAAACAAAAGTGATCTGAAAAATGGCATGAGTTCTTGGCTAAGTTTGGAGAACAACTAAGAAAAGTCAGAGTATCCTGTTGTTATTTCTGAGCGGTGTTTTGGGTGAAGAGGGATGGTGATAAAATAATTTCAGTTCCAACAGAAACTAGTGAGAATTTTTAAAATGTTATTGAATGTGTAGAACAGTGCTACTGGAGTTTTTTTTTTAAACTCTAAAGCATGGTTATACAACAGTATTTTTCACACATAAACATTGGGAAAACTCAAAAGGACTGGATTTAATGATGTTTTTTTTTCGGGGGGGGAGGGAAGTACAGTTGTCGATGAAGTTGATAGTTGCGCAAGAATAATGTAGCAAGTCATTTGAATAGGAAGTCTACAGTGCAATCTTTATGGCTTAGATGGACTTAATTGAAAAATATGTATTTTAATGTAGTCCTAAATATCATAAAACTTTATAAATGCTTGCTTCTTTTTATTGGCTGTATGTACAGTTTGGATGGCTGTCTCTTTAGGTTGTTTCATTATCTCTGCAGACAAAGTAGGCAGTTGTCATCCAGTAAGAAACAGTAGACAAAAGCACTCAACTCTGAACATGGCAATAGGTACTTTATTCTGTTGGGATTCTGAGCTCTGTGCTCTGCCTGAGAGTAGTTGTCTAAAGAAGAAGGAAGTAGCAGTGGAGGATGGGGGAGGCATTTTCTGGCTGTGTTATATAGACAAGAGCCCTCTCAGTTGCAGAAAACATTAAAAGTAAAGTCTGCTTGTATGCTAGTAGTTCGTTCTTCCATCAGTGAGACAGAAGAGAGCTATCACACTTAACTTTGGCTGTAGGCATCCTTACTTCCATGCTTACTCTTTGTAGCGACAGTAACTAGTATTTTTTTGCTTAGGAAAAAGATGTTGTTGGTTGCTTCCTTTTCTGTTTTCCTCTGCTACTATCTGGTCCTTATATGGCAAAACGGAATCTTCTTGACGTCCCTCAAGTTGAAAAGTTTTTGTGGAGGAGTCTACAGACCTTCTTGAGTTCTCCAAAGATGGAGATTCCACAGCCCCTTTAGGCAACCAGTCCTTAACCACACTTGTTATGGAGAAATGTCTTTTTTATTCTTTCTTCAGGGAGAGCCAGTGAACCTCTGCCTCTTTTGGTTCTTCCAGGTGAGCTGGGTGTTGCTCTCTGACAATTTTGTATTTCTTCACTGGTGAAACTTTGGACAAAAGAACATTTAAGCAATTGTGTATGGGGCCTCTGAGTCCTAGTGGGAGCTGGTGCTGGAGTTTGGCTTCTCTTGTGATGTAGGCTTTTGAGGCTAGTAACATAAGGGTGCTGCAAACTCCCCTGTGGTTAAATTTTTATTGGACAGGTTGTGATTTTTCAGCAGGGTCAGATTATCTGGGATCTAAAGATGCCAGATGGAAACCAATGGAAAAGGTCCCTTGTCCTCAGTTCCCTGGGCTCTTATTGACCCCTTGTTCAAAAAGTGTATTAGTGCTGTGGTACTTCATTTGTTTCATTATACAGATACCGGGTTTGTTTTCATGAAAGATGAAAGTGTGGTATTGCTTACAGCTATTCTGGATGTGCGCTCTATATTTTGGAAATCAGAATATATTAAGCTTGTAGGTTTCTGGCTATATTGTTTAATTTTTTTTTGATAGCGATGGAGTAGTATTCAGTTAAAGTTACTTCTGAAACTGGTTTCTTGTAGTGAAAATACTTAAATTTCAGTTGGCTTAGAAAGTGATTTTTTTTTTTTAATGTCTCTAGTATATTTTATATATTTACATAATAATTTTTCATTATAAGTAAGTGTAACTGGAGTACAGGCTTAATTACATCTGAAGTAAAAGCTTTTGCCATCTGTTTATGTGTAACACTGTAGAAGGGTTTTTTCAAAATTTCAGTGTCACTTCTACTGGTTTAATGGCATTATTAGATGAATGGTGTTTCTATCTGAGTTAATTTTTTGAGAGGGGTTTTGAAGATAAATATTCACTGTTAACCCCATGTTAACATTTATTTATCTGTCTTTAGTAAGATGATTCCAGCTTAGGGCAGTTAGCAAGTCTTAGAGAAGTCCTTATAAACACTTACTCCCTGAAGATATTTCAAGTAGAGGAGAAAACAAAAGATGACTGTGGTTTTTATAGTTTTTTTCAGTCTGTCTGTTAATGATAATTTTAAAGTGGTCTGTTGTAACAGTTTTTAAAAGCAGCTCAAGTTGGCAGCGTATACTTTCTTTTCCCTATTCTTTTATTGGTCTCATGCTTTTTCTGTGTGGAATAATTCTACAAACTATTTCTGAATAAAATGATGAAGCAGCACAGATACTGTATTTAGTTGCAGATGAAATAGTAGAATGATATATGTTATGTTGACTGTGAATGTTGACTATAACAGTTGTGTGTGTGCTTTTCATTTTCTGTACAAATTATAACTACCAATTTAGTAAATGGGGAGGGCAGACACCAATTGGTTGGATGCAACTAGAAAAGATCTGTGCTTTAAGAGAAGAATAAAAAGCACGTGTGCAATTCCAGATACTAAATACCATTCCAGAGTCTCAACAATACTACTGTAAGTAAGTACAACTATATGTTTAGCTCAGTTTGAGTCAAAATACAGTTGGGTGAAGAAATTAAGAACCTTTAGATTCAGTAGAGTAATGAAAAAGAGAAAATCCAAGATGGAGACAAAACTCAAAAAGGTCTGCAGTGAGACAGTATGATGGGATTATCTAATTATCTAAGCCTGTCATTTTATGTCCTTAGTAGAAGTAAGCCTGGGTAGGAAGAAAGCACAATCATTTTTAAGGTGCATTGAAGGTCTTGTGACAAAAGATGGTAGTTTTCCTCTTGGGGAAGAACAGAATTCACTCTAAATGATTAGCGACACCAAGTTCATTTTCAGAAGACGTAGCTCTGTACTATGCAATATTACTCGTGTAATCCATTGTAATCTAAAATCCATTTAATGTTATTAGTGGCAGTATATTAATGTGTTGGGTTAGCTATATAGCAGCTTCTGCTAAATACGCAGTTACGGCAAACTGTCCTCCACTGAAACAAAATGACAACTCTCAGGATCTTAGTATTGAAAAAAAGGCCTAAAATCAGTAGGTTTCTTTCTGAATTGGTGTTTCCCCCTGTCCTCATCCAACCAAATGTCAGACAATTAGGAATGTTTACTTCTTGAAAGGTGTTAAAGCACAATATGGTAAGTAACTAAACATTTATTGATAACCCCAAGTTAATGAGTTAGAACAGGACTGGATATAGGAGTTGATATTCCTATGAAAAAATGACTTGGCCACACCTTTAAAGAAGGAAAAGAAATAGAGGGGATGTGGGGTCTGTGTGTTGGGATTTCCTCCTACAGAAAGAAAACAGGAGTCTAGTCAAATTAGAATGACTTTGTTTAAATAAAAAGTATACACAGAACTCTTCAATGATAAAAAACCTTGCATGAATACTGATTTGTTCAGATGGTATTTCCCTTTTGCAGAAATTTGCATAGCTTTTATGCGATGACTATGTTAATCCAAGAAATTCAAAGAAATAACCTGCTTTTCCATTTGTGTGTCACTGTTTGTGTAAATCATTAGTATTTGGATATCATGGACTATTACTTGTATAAATTCTTCACTGAATAAACTTAAAAATGTATTACAGGTCATCTAAACTTTGGATAATACAAAATGAAATGTAAACATGACTTAAGTAACTTATGTCTGTAATATTCTAAACAGTTAAAATAGTCTATGGAAAAAAGTGTTGTAAAAGATTCTTTGTACTATAATTGAAATGTCCTTTGAGCTTCTAGAAAACATTAAAATTAAATACAATTATAACTTTTTGTAGGTTGGGCTCATGTGGTTTGTGCTCTGTACATTCCCGAGGTGCAGTTTGCAAATGTTTCTACAATGGAACCTATCGTGTTGCAGTCTGTTCCTCATGATCGTTATAATAAGGTATAATTATATGTCTTTTTATCTATAACTAATGTATTTATTTTAAAACTTGTGAGCTTTAATAATGTAGAACTACGCTTCTTAGAATGCACTTTATATAAAATTGATAAATGTATGCAGTAATGCTGTATGTTTTCTGCTATGACTTTATGATAAATTCAAGAATTATGAAAGCTACATTATTAAATTAAGCTGTAAGGTTATCTGCCATGTCTCATTATTCTTTTACAGATTAGGGACTGTTTTGTTAATTAAAAATATCGTGGTCTTTGAAAAACAGTTTATTTTGAAATGAATGTGAAATACTTCCCATAGGTTAAAATATTATTACAGCTTATTTGAAATGTTATTATTGATTACCACTGGGTCCTATTGGTTTAAGTATCCATATGAACATAAACATGTTCATAAACTTTTCTTTTAGGAAGAAAAGCTATTCTAATACATTAAGGCAAAAGCTTGCAGACTTTTGCCTTTGTAAACAGTATTCACTTTAGGAGGATTATTTGCTTATAGAAGAACTGCTCCTAAATAAGTGTGGTGAGACTTTAATTAGAAAAGTAAAAAAAAGAGCGCAAACCAATGTAATAGTAACTTACTAATATTCTATATTGATAGTTACATTTTTCTACTTGTTTCACTTGTGCTACCTCTTCCTTACTAGACTTAACTACATCCTCCTTTGTATTTTCCCTTCTGTAGGCAGCAAACTGTCTGAATTTCTGATTAGTTTTATTACATATTTTTCTTGTGTTGTTCTTTTTACATCTAGTTTCTTTCTTTTACTTTATGGTGGTTCGTAGACACTGCAGTAAAACAGGAATAGACTGTGTTATAAAAGAAAGAAATTTTAAAAAGGCATGCATCACCTCTTGTGTTCTTCCTACAGGGAAACCAGTCCTGTTCATGTTGGCTCTGTGACCTCTCTTCCCTGGCTGCTGCCCCCCCCACCTTACATCTCCAATTTATTTGCATCCAGCCCCCCTTACCTATCGTTTTTTTTGTTTGTTTGTTTTTTTCCCCCTCCATACTTTGGTCTTCCTTGTCTATTTCAGATTCTCACAATTGCTGTCAGTATGTTTTGCCCATTACATTTACCAGTGTATCTGAAAAGCCAGGAGTCAAACTCTAGGTTCTTCTCATGCTTTTTCATTATGGACTACCTGAGCATCTGTATTGGTTCCTCACTATTGGCTTCCTTCTGCATTGGCAAGAACATGCAACAGTGAGATTAAGTGAAGAACTAATAAAATTTTTGTGCTTGGACACAAAGCAGTACAGATTTGCTGTAGCAAATGAGTTGATTTTCTCTCTTTCCTCAACTCTGGGCCAAGAACACATCTGTTTTCTCATTTTTCCTTGAGCAGTAGTCGTAATGTTTTTGTTTTTGTTTTTTTTTTATTGGTAGTGGTTCTTCCCTAATGTACTTCAAAAATTTTGTGTAACGCTTTGAATTTTGTTTTATCTTGCACCATTTCCATTGATGGTAATTGATATTGGATGTGTAAATCCTTATAATGTCAAAAAATGTACCCTGTGTCTTAATATTACTTGTTCACAAAGTCGATTGTTGTTGGTCCCTCTCTTTAGTCTTTAGTTCCTTTTTGTTACAGCTAAAGTTGCTTCTTACTTGAACTGTTTTAGTTCCAAATATATGATGTATAGTTGTTTTTTACTGCTAAAATTCCAATTTGCATTTTGTTGGTCTGTAGTTATCATGATTTTTTTTGCTCGTTAGAGAATTACTAGTGCCATACAGGTCATGTAGATAGTTTCTGATGTTGTCTAGCTCTTCATTTTCTGAGTTTTTGGTGGGTGTTCCAATTCAGGCCTATTTTCCATGTCAAGTCAGCCTAAAAGTACTTTCATACAGGCCACTACAGTATATTATAAAATATAATGAGACATATCAGGAATTTCAAGGTTTGGGGTCACACCCCTAGCCTGCAAATTATTTTTTGTTCTCTCTTTTTACAGAACTCAGCTTTTGCTGTCTTTATTTGGTCTATTTGATTCAGGGAGATAGAGGTTGTGGATTTCAGGGGAATCAAAGAAATGCCTATAGTGCAGTTGCTGCAGCAAACCTCCTAAAACCAATCTAACTTCACTGCCAACTGCAGTCTAGTTGTAACAGCACAGAATTTAAGAGGTAATCACAGACAGGGGACTCGCCTGACTTTTTTGATAAATCTGTAGCCAGTGCTGAGTTTGGTACTGCTGAGGCTAAACTGCCACCAGTTCCTGAGTAGGCTAGTTTTGAGCAATACCCCCAAAACCAATACAACTACTAATTCCCTTTTCACGTAGCCTGCAATAATTGCACCACCCACCCTCCTTTCTATTTAGTATAAATTGCGTTTATTTAAATGACACATTTTTTTTAGATCAGAAACTTTGTAAAGCATGTAACTCTGACTTTATCAATTTGGGAGGAAATGGGAAAGAAAAGCTGTTGTGGTTTTTTTTTTTCTTTTTTTTCTTTTTGAGAAGTAAATGTGGCAAACAGTTCTTAAAACATTTGTTGCACATTGTGAACAAATGTAAACATGTAATTAGGAAAAAATGACTATAGTTGTTTCTCTTTTTAGAGAGGCTTAGTGCTAATTTCATTGTGTCAACTCAGGTTGGAATAGGATGATTTTAAGCAAGATTTTATTTCCTGTGAAGTCCTACATAATTCTGTGTGTGTGGCTGGATACATATAGAATGCTAGCATATGGAATTGGGGGAAAACATAGGCCAATGAAAATTACCATAGGGGAGGATTTATACTGTAGTCTTTATTTTAAAGACAAACATCATTAGAGTTTTGCCAGGTGTGGTGGGTTAACCTTGGCTGGATGCCAGGTGCCAACTAAAACCGCTCTATCACTCCCCCTTCTCAGCTGGACAGGGGGGAGAAAATATAACAAAAGGCTTGTGGGTCAAGATAAGGACAGTTTAATAAAGTGAAAGCAAAGGTTGCATGCGAAAGCAAAGAAAAAACAAATGATGTTATTCTCTACACCCCATCAGCAGGCAGTGTCTAGCCACTTCCTGGGAAGCAGGGCTTCAGTACGCGTAGTGGTTCCTCCAGAAGACAACAATGCCCCCCCTTCTGTCTCCCTTTACTTAGCTTTTATATCTGAGCTGACGTCATATGGTATGGAATATCTGTTTGGTTGGTTTAGGTCAGCTGTCCTGGTTATGTCCCCTCCCAAGATCTTGCCCTGCCCCAGCCTGCCATTGGGGGTGGGGTGGGGTGGGGGGGCAAAAATGTTGGAGAGACAGCCTTGATGCTGTGCCAGCATTGCTCAGCAGTAGCCAAAACACTGGTGTGTTATCAACACCTTTCTAGCTACTGATGCAGAGCATAGTGCTATGAGGGCTGCTATGGGGAGTATTAACTCCATCTCAGCCAGACCCAATACACCAGGAGATAGAAAAAACTGTGTAAGTTAATTACTATGCACTTGTTTGTTTATTGAATGCTGCAAAATATGCAATATTACAAAGTACAGTAATCTTAAATGCAAGAAGAAACACAGCAGACACCAAAGCATGAGGCTTGTCATGTAAAGACATTTGGCTGCTATTTCCCTGAAGTTTACCTGCTTCTGGGATAAAAGCCATCACATTACAGAATGAGTCCACTACATGACTTGATTAGTGGGTTAACTAACAGGAAAGCTCTTCTTACACAGTTGCTTCCAAAAAGAAATGGACTAGTAGTTCCTCTCCTATTTAGTAGATGTTTGTTATTCCTTGGATGGTTATGCATGGATAATATCTATTTATTTTATGTGAGCCTTATTTGTCTCTTTCAGGTTTATTTGAAAGTATGCGCTAATTGAATAGAATTACTGCTTCTGGAAATCTCTTTTTAAGAACTGATTAAAAAATAAGTGCATTTGGAGTTTCTTGATCTGCCTAGTAGTAAAGGTAGCTGTTGAACTTTTATTTCAGTACTTGCTGCAACAATGAGAAGTTTCTGTACAACTCCTGAGTTTGATTCTGTAAGCAGGGAATGCTTTTGGGTAGCTGTTATGAGTAAACTATTTCTCAGATTACTTTTTTTTTTTTTAAGGTTTTTTCTTGCCTCATCTTGCCTTCTGTCATTGCTTTTGCAAAGAAGGTTTATGTTTTGAACCTTTGAAGGAAAAATATTGACAGAAACATAAAGGCAGCTTTGCAAAATGTATATTTTGCCATTAAAGTAACTAAGGTACTTGTGTTTTTTGAGTAAAATTTCCTTGCTGAGTCAAAAGCTTTGTGTAATGTTTTGCTTATTTTCCAATGAGTTTGGGAGAAGTCTAAGTACTCTCTTCCCTTAAGAGCTCTGTAGAGCAGTGCTGTTGTAGGTGGTGGGAAACAGAGTGTTTTACACTTCCACATTCCAAAGGTTGCAGAGGAGGTGTAGCAATTGCATGGATATGCAAATGCATGAAAGTCTTCCTTCTTCTGCTTTGTGAAGGAAAGATAAAGGTTCTCGGGCTTCTGGAATTGTTTGTGTGTGTGAGAGAAGGTAGAAGTACGACAAGGTAGAAGTGTGAGAAACAGCTTTAGAGAGAATTTACCGTCCATGTTGGAATGGGAAGATGAACCTTCTTTGGCCTCTTTTCATATGGAAGATTAGGAAACAGGTTTTATACTTCTCATGACTATTGTAGGAAGGATAGAAGTTCATTGAGCTTGTTAAAATGGGTAGGCAGTCCACCATGTTGTGTTTAAACTTGTTTGTAATGTAGCTGGTGGTTTGTTGTCATTTTACTGTAAATTGCTTTAAGGGGTCCTGAAACAGAGACCCTAAACATAGTATGTATGTCAAAAAACAGGACCTACATCCTTACTAAATAGAATGCTTATATCACTTTTTTTTCTGAGCTTCAGTGAGGAAAAAAATTGCAGACCTTGGGGCAAAACTCTGAAAAAAATGAACAGTAACTGGAGCTTGAGTTTTATGGGGTCTGTTGAACTCTCTGTTTATAGAGGTATCTTACTTTTGAAGTTACTTACACTTAATATAGTTACTAAGATGAGGTTGATAGATCATGACCTTGTTTGTTCCTAAATCAAAATGTGTCAGGTCATGGTATGGAAAGCTAAAAAGCAGCTAGTCTCAGACCCTGTCAAACAACTGAATTATCTGTATGCACTACCTTGATGTACAAAGGGAGCAAGGCAAAGAATTAAGTAGGATTATCCCCTTTCTGAGCCTTCAAATGTTAGGATATAGGTATGATTTTAGGATATATTAGCTATTTGGTTTAATGCTTTTTAAAAGTCTTGTGGAAACAGTACAAGAATGACTCACCTACCCTAGATTCTTGCATGTTAACAAAAATGCTTTAGTTAGCTGATGTCTCATGTTAAATGTTGTTCTAAATACCTCTGTAAAAGGCTGTTCTGATCTCAGAATTTCACTCATTTTCATGTCTTTCTAAGTAACACTGGTTTTGCATTACATTATTTTTATTTTTTATTTCAGTGGTATCTTGGTCCTTTTTTCTTATACTGTTATTTTCTACTACCCATGGTTCATGATCTTTTTATTTATTATTCTACTCATTCTCTGCCTCACTGAAGGGAGGTTGTGATACAACTGCAATAAGTCAGTTACAGTTTAAATGTAGACAATTCTTTTTGGGGGTGGGGGGAAAGATTATCTTTTCTCATCTAAGATCTTGTAATGGGATTTCTACAGAGGTAGCAGTGTGTTGTTGATGTTACCTCAGTAAGGTTCTCTCTCATTTAAAAACAAACACTTGACTGCCCCAATGCTGGACGATACTTTCATTAAGAATCTATTCTTAAATTGTTAAATTTTGCACATAAATGTGATATGATAGAATCTCTCTAAATGGCATTTCAGTAATTAGGACAGTAAAAAATGTAAAGAGATTTAGTTTTGCCTGATGTTTCTCCCTGAAATGCTGGTGAGAGATTGTAGTGATGTCTAGTATAATAGTGAGCTTCCATACACCATGTATCCATGTTTATTTGACACATGTTTAAAAAAACCAAAAGTATTTAATAATGAGAAAGATTTTTGGATTCTTTTTGTCTTAATTTTTTTTCTTCCATTTTACTGAGAATGTTTTTGAAAATACTATAAATTGCCATAGTATCCCAGTAAAACAAATAAATTGACAGAAATGCTGTGAAGACATTTTCAGGTATTAGACAGGTTGTTTTAATTTTAGCTTGTTTTTTAGGCTGAAATGGGTTTGATATACTAATTTAAGCTTTGTTTACAGAAGGTTCTTGCTTGATTAGTTTCTAAAATGTTTATGGGGCTGTCCAAGTCATGCTGAAATTAAAGCAGAGTTCTGTTAAACACCATATTTAATTAAAGGTAACTGAGCATCATATGAATATTGAAGCATGCTATGAGACTCCTGCAAATTCTTTACACCAAATGTACAAACACAATTTTAAGTTTGAAGTTTTTCTGTATGTAATTTTGTAGATCTATGCATGTATACCATATGGTATCTTGTACCATTAGGCACTTAGTCTAATTTGATGTTTCTGAAAGCCACCAATACAGGTAATGTTAAATGAATGTGAAAATGATTGTGACCTAAAAGGACATAAACACAAAGTTGAAACCAAGGAAAACCTTGAAGCCTAATACTATTAACCTTCGGCTGTTTAACTGTTTGGCTAGTTGAATAGTGGTATAGAATTTAAGTAAATTAGTATTTGTACTGCTTTAGCATTGGTGAAGTGTTACACAGCTCCCAAGTGTCTACCAGGTGATCTCTGCAAACAAACATAGTTAGACTTTTATAAAGAAGTTCTTGTATAAGCTTAGCTGCAAAATCCAGTAGTTCTTACCCTAGAATCTCCTGTGAGTAACACAGAATTTATTTGTATGCTTCTTATCATGTTAAGTATTTTCTCTTTGATAGACATGCTATATTTGTGATGAACAAGGCAGAGAAAGTAAAGCAGCCACTGGTGCTTGTATGACATGTAATAAACATGGATGTCGACAAGCTTTTCACGTAACGTGGTAAGTATATTTTTATTGTTTAACATCTCTGATGTTCCAGAAAGAATCGATGCACATGGTGTAATGAATAAACTCTTTATTCTGTATTTCTGAGTAAAGAAATATAGTAGTTTGCGTAGAAATATCTAACTTTATTGTAGTAGAGTTTTTACTAACAATATGGCAGTGGCAGCAGACACGTTTCTGTGAGCTGCAAAAGCTGTCTGATAACACTCCCTTGAATTGTATTAAATGCTGTGTGCTCCTGTGAATAAAGTTTAGTGGTTTGTTTGTTTGTTTTGTTTTTGTCTTACGTTATTTTTCTTAAATGGTATTTTGTACGATATGTGAATGTGAAGACATGGTTTGTTCACCTGCTAACTGATTTGATGTTTACTTTTAGTAAATCAGTGAGAAAAACTATTGAGCTACACATAAAAATGCACTAGACTCACTCCTTCCAGTACAAATTTCCAAATGTTTGGGTGTGATTCACCTCACTGGTTTTATCTAAATGGTACACAACTATCCTGAATTATTCATTTAGGTTTCATGTATACCTGTTGGAGAAAAACAGCTGTGTCCACCATCTGATTAATTCCACTTTCAGATATCTAGCTTTGCTTGCATTCAGGAGATGCTTGTCTGAATTTATGGACTTCTAAAAGAGGCTGGATAATTAGCTTAAACCCCATGTCAACTGGTGAAAGGAGGCAAAAGGAGTTCCACCCCAAAATTTACAGGCATTATTTGTTTTTTCAAATTCAGCTGAACCTTTTTTGCCATAGATAGATAGCAGATTTACACAGACTATCTAGCTACATAATCTGTGGATTTAGCCATCTATTTTATGGGCGTGCCAGTATGCTGCTTCGTGACCAGCTCAGTCAGGGAAGTGGTATTTGCACATCTACTTAAAATACTTAAATGTATTTTCTTCAGTGTAGTCAAGTGATACTTTGAGTATCTTGTGCAGATCTTAAAGGATATAATTCTGTAGTTTAGACGCTGATTTCTTGGTGACCTTTTTTTCTTTTAATTACTTGACTATCTGGCAGGTTTTAACTCTTTCATAAGCATCTAATTTTTCATTGGATGTGATCGATGTCAAGTTTCTTTTTATGGTGAAAATGGATTGTGTTCCTCAAAGCGTGTATACCATGTAAAGAGGTTACTTACAGATATGAAAAAATGTATACATCCAAGTGTTTGGATGAAAAGGTCTCTCTTCTTTCAACACTTGGATGCATACAAGAGTCCGTTTCATCTTCTTTCTTTCTTTCAAAATCCCATTTTCAGTGAATGCCATAAAGAACATGAGAAGTAGCTTCAAAAATAAAATATTTATCTTGCCAATTTTTAGAATATTTTGATTCTCAAAAAAACAGGTATGTACTATAAAATGATATCTAGCAAGAGAGTACTGTGACTGAGGATATTGAGGGACTTCTGTAATATTAGAAAAATGGAAGAAAAATGTGAAAACTACAGAAGGCAGAGATCCAGGGCAGGGTGTATCAATTTTGGGTTAACAAAACTAATGTCTAAGGAAGAATGAGCTTGAGTCCATCTGTTTTCGTATGGCAAGCTTAGAATGATAAATCTTCACTTAAAGAGATCCTCTTAAATGTTTTCTGTAGTTGGCATCTGCTATAGGTGTGCATGTATTTAGGAAGCAGTATTTCTGGATTGCCTAAGAACATCATGTATAAGTGAGGGGAAAGTAATTTTAAAAAGCAGTGAAAATAAGCTGCTTTATATATATTGTTCCTTCATTTAAATACTCCCGTGCATCATTTTGACTGTGGCATTGCATTATTATGCTAATGAACATGATATGGAAAATGAATATTTAGTTTTTCAATGTCTAAGTTGGTTTTGATAAAGAAAATAAATCAACATTACAAATGGTGAAAGCAAATTTGATTTGAAAAAATGTAGTAGAATAAGGTAATAATTAGTGCAGGCAAGGAAACTTGTAAGTCTTGTTCTTTTTAAAAGAAATTAACCTGCCACAGTCTTTTAAACCAGTAAATATGGTTTGATTTATTATGTCATTGAAGCTCTATTTAAGAAAAAAAAAAAAAAAAAAAAAAAAGGGCTTTTCCTGGCAAAGCAGAGAAGGATGTATGCAACTTCAGAAGATTTCTTCTTTGGATCTACAGTATGGTTTTGTTAAAAACGTTCTTTCCATAGATAATTTTTGGCTTGAATTTGAGCTAAGAATCATTGTAAATTGCTTGGTTTATTTATTTGTGGGAGTAGCTGCATAATAAACATGGATTTTCAGGCTATAAGCTTGTGTGAGTGGCTTAAAGACTATGAAAAAGACATCAGGCCAAAGTGTAAACCATACATGTTTTTTACTGGGCTGCAAAAGTCAGTTATGTGCTCACATGCCATTAGAAGTCACTTGTGTGGAAATCTTTTCTATTAAATGCAGATATAAGTATCCGTACATTATCAGCTGTGATACTGTAGTACAAGCTGATGTAAAATTGCTTTCCTTGAATGTTGTTTGGTTTATTTTTAGTGCACAGTTTGCAGGACTTCTTTGTGAAGAAGAAGGCAATGGTGCAGATAACGTCCAATACTGTGGCTACTGTAAATACCATTTTAGTAAACTGGTATGTATTTGTGAAATTCTATAAATAAATGTCACTGACTTACTTTTTGACTCTGAATTGCTATTAACACTAGAAATAATATTTTCATGTAGCTCAAAGTAGATTGTACTTCATTAAAACAATGTTTTAATCACAGTTACGGAAGTACTAGCTGAAAAAGTTTTTATAAGTGGTTACTTTCTAGATGTGTGGGTTTTTCCCCTCTGCCAGAAATAGCATGCACAATTAGTGGTATTTTTTTTTTCATGGAAGTGTCTGTAGTGTTTTCTTTTGCTATTTGATTAGGTGGCTTCTAGGAATTTAGTCCATTTTGGAATAATTTAGAAAGTATTATTTGTTATCCTGTATATTAGAGAATAAAGAAGCCCTCAATTTCTTTCTGCTTCTGTTACTTTTGGTTTTTTACTTTTTTTTTTTTCCCCTCCCCTCTTGTTCTCTCACCGTCTAGCCGGTGGCTTTTCCCTGCCTGTAAGTCCTCTGAAACACAACCTCAAGGAAGTGACTTGACGTTTGATTTTCAAAAAACAAACAAGCAAACAAAAAACTTTGAAATTTCTCAGTTATTTCAGTAGGTTTTGGATGAGACCTCTGGAGTCATTCCTATCACTTCTTATCAGTTTGGCAGGTCCAGATCCCTCTTTGTGTGTACGTGTGTGTGTGTGGACTTGAAGGACTTACTGATGTTTAAAAAATGTTATTTATGAATATTGATTTATGAAAATTAAAATATATAGACTTAAGTTCAGATACTGCTGTAAGTATAGTTAAATGTGCTGATTACTTGTTTTCACTGCTAAAAAAGGTGAATACTTAGGTGACTTTCAAATAGGTTGCAATGAGGTAAAAACACAGGCCAATGAACCGTTTCAGCTTTCTAGATTAGCTTGGTGAGGTTAGCTCTGTGCTCTTGTGAATATTGATAAGCTTGCTTCATAATGAAGGTAAGTCGGGGCTTTCTAGGCCCTTATTGAGCTAAGGTTTTTTTATTATTAATATCTTGAGCTAAGTATACAAAAAGAACACATATGGTCTATTACCTAGCAGTGAAGGCAAGCTCTTACAATATTATGTATTGGATTTGAATGTTCAGTGCTGCTATGATTGAGAACATGTATGTTTATTTAAAAAGCAAGTTTAATGATAAAGACATAACTCTATGTTTGACATGTAATTAGTTAGCTTTCCATTACAAAACTACAGTGGTAAGAACAGTAAAGATTGGCAAGATTGTTTTTCAGTATTTCTTTAGATTATTGTGACTGTTGATGCCTGGTAAATACCGGTGTTTAGTATTTACTACTGAAGATGGTGGGTGGTGTATATGTATATCTACTATACCACTGAAAACTTTGGTGGGCAAAGCACTGACCTGAAGTGTCTTTATACTGCTACCTCAGTTATGATAAAATAACAAACATTTTGAACACTGGCCTAGCATTAAGTATTTTCTGTCCTGGACTAGGCGCTCAAACATTATATAAATACAGGCAATTTTATCAGCTGCTTGTAAATGCATACATGACCACAGCATTCTGTATCCTTTTTTTTTTTTAACCCATTTTAATGAAAATATTGCAGGCAGATCACTTGTATAATAAATCATGAAGCCATAAAACAGCCACCTCACAATGCATTTCAAGCATGTGGCAGTGCTAGCACTGTGGCTTCATGTGCTACTCATTTGAGCAGTGTCTCTTCTGTTTTATGTTATGAAAACTTGAAAATGTGTCTAGCATCTTTTAACCTTTAAAAAGTGTATCACATTTCTTTGTGGAAAGCATATCTTGCAAATTCATGGAAGTTGTAAAAGTTGATACAAGGATAGGCTTTTTTCCTGGTATACATTGGGTAGTCTTGTTAATTTTATTAGTGTTAGTAATTTGTCGGTTTTTCAGTAACTGAAGTTTTTTTCTCTTCAAGCAGTAAGGCATCTTATCAGTTGAAATGCTGTATATTTTTTATTTATTCAAATGGTTCCTTTTCTCTATCCATAAATATGTTTTCTCTTTTTAGAAAAAGAGCAAACGGGGATCTAATAGGTCATATGATCAAAGTTTAAGTGATTCTTCCTCTCACTCTCAGGATAAACATCATGAGAAGGAGAAAAAAGTAAGTGGATTTGTCGTTGCTAATTATGTGGCACATCTGCTTAATAGTAGCACTTTCTGATAAATTTAATTTTTGCTGAAAAGCGTGGAGGAAATCTTGTTCCTGAAGCACTGAATAATAAATAACACAAGTGATAAACTAGAGGTACTAGGGTCCAATAAGGAAATATCTTCAGGTGCATTTGTACATGCACCTTCGTATTCCTGTTTATCATCGATTTTGGGATACACACTGAAACACATCCATTGGGAAGGCTGTGTCCATGCAGCTTCCTTTGCTTTAGTTTTTTGAGATTTCTTTGTGTAGCCTTTTTGACTAGGTGGGATAGAAAAACAGGGGTAGACATTATAGCAAGTGTGCTGATAAACAGGTGCATCTATTTTTTTATGTTTCAACCTGTTATATCTTTTTCTCCTCATCAAAGAACTGACATCTCATGTTGACACATCTCACTGGTACTGGTGGTCAAGCCCATTGTGATGGCAAAATAGCTTGTCATTCACCTGGGAATCTTCCTGTGAGGGTACAAAGAACATAACTGGCTGTTAATCTCTATTGTTGGTGTATTCTTTTAACAATTTAACTTTACATATTTTTAAAAACAATTTTAAATTTATAAAGATTATTATTTTACATTTTTATTACTGCTAGATTAATAGTTTTCTATGGGAAATTTGTCATCTAAATTCAACACAGGGTGATAACAGACAGTGGCACAATAATGCAAATTTACTTTGGCTCTTTTTTAGCCCTCTGAGAATACATGCAATACTGCTCACCTGCATGCATCCTGTACAACTAACTTAATAGACTTTTCTGTGAGTGTGGGTAGACTTAGTTTTGCATTATTCAAAATCATTACATGAAAATTGAATTCAAAGAATGTATTGACCAAATGTATATTATATGAAGGAACTATATTTATAGTGACAGGAAATTGAATAACAATGTCAGTCTTCAGACCCTTAGTCTCCTTAATATTTGATTTGGTTTTTAAGCTCACTTCCACTTTGGATGGTTGTTGATCTCCATTGTTCTTGGATAATCTTCTAAAAAGCGTCTTTAGATCTGGTTAATGGCATAGGTGAATAGTTCCATCTTCATCCGGTAATGCAGAAGAGAGTGTGTGTTGTGATGTAGTTGTACTTCTTAATCTAAATTGATGACTAAAATAATAAAAGTATGGGGTTTTGGTGAATCTTTTTTTCTTAGTAACACATTGGTAGAAAAAAAAAAAAAATCTTGAATTACAGACTACAGAATTACCTGCAAGGTAAAACCTTACCAATATTTGCCATGTTTTTTTTCTTAGTTTGCTTAGTTTTTCCACCGTTATCCTGTTTCAGGTCATATTTTATCAAAATACATGCATGGATTTTTACTTGCATTGACAAAACTTTGAAGCTGAATTTGAAGAAACTTTGAGGTTTGAGCCTGAGGCTCAATTTCAGTTTTGTATGTCCGAGCAGTGCAAAAAACCCATTGCTGCTGTTCGTTGTGTGGTTTGTGTGTGTTATTTTATTTTATAAGTGACTTTGACTGGAGATGCTATGCTTTTTCGGGTTGTAATACCTGTAAAATCTTCAGGGAATACTTGGAGGGACTTTCTAACAGAGTGTGTTCAGCCAATGTATCAGCTATTTTTTCTCTTAGCTCCTCAGCTTCTCCTGCTCTGGAAGTGTATTGGTGTGGATCTTTTTCTAGAAACAGTTAATGTTGTGGCTTGCCTTTGCAAGTCTTGGCCTTTTTCTGTGACTTGAAGTTTGCTAGAAATAGGCTATTAAAGATTCTTCTACCTTTCATGAACTGAAACATGGTAATCCAGAAGATCTCATGATCTGTAATACCAAGTGAAGCAATGTGGTTTGAAGCACTAACCTATTATTTGACATTCAGTGGTTCTCATGGCATGTTAGCTTATCAAGTTTAATTTGCTTTATGTGTTATATAATCACAAAACACTATTCTAATTAAAACCACCAAGTGGTGAAGAAAGTTGCAGTTTCCTAAAGCTGTTAGTCGCCTAACTTTTTGTGGCTACTGAGATTTTTTTTTTGGCGTTTTTAATCTTACACATTCTGTAGTTAAAGAATGACCTGTACTTTGCAAAACACTAATCTTCAGTCAAAGAACTCTATGTGATGTGGAGGCTCATTCTCTTGGTAAATTTTATTACCTTCTGCATGTGATGTCTTATTTGATGTAGTATGTCAAACATACACTGTATCTTGGAGGAGTAGGGTCATTTTTTACGGTCACTTTTCCATATTTTACTCTTCTGTAAATCCGTTTGGAATCTAGACTTTTGTCATATTACAGTAAATATATATATATATCTTTCTTCCCAGATACAGTGGTGTCTCCCCCTCAGTAAGGGCACCGCAGTTTCTAATTTATCTTTCATCTCTGTTCTTTGGAAATTTGGATAATCTGATCTTTAGGCATCCTTAAAGCTTTCCCTTTTGCCAAGCAGAAGCCGTATGAGTTGAGGACTGGAACCATTTTTATTGCTCAGACCTCAAAAGCTATCCATTTGCATATAAAATATTATTCTGCAATAAGAGGTTGGTCTGAAAATGTTGATATGGGTAGCTGTTGTTTTTTGTAAACAGAGTTGAAAGCATGTGTTTTCATAATATGTATTTAGTTTCTTCTGGGCACTGTGCTTACAAAATCAATAGCAAATATATAAGGGTGTAATAATTAAAAACCCAACAGACCTTTGGTATGATTTAATTTTAATGAGAATTTGAAGCTACAGAATAAATACTTGGTTATATTCTGATTACTGCTGCACTAAGTATTGTTAGTTTGTATGGCAGAGATGTTATTTAGAAATGATTAGAGATGAGGCTGTGTGACTCATAGTAGGGTTGGTAGTATGTTGCTTGACATCCTGTTATAATATCCCTTTTTTCAGGGCCCAGGTGTTTATCTCAAGCTTTTTTGGGAAAAACTTAGGCCACCGTGAGGCTGTGGAAGAATACCTTGCTTTGCTAATGTTCCTGGCAGCCTTATCTTTGGAAGGGACTAAAGAAGGAACTAAACATGTCTGGGATTGACCTTTGTGTGTAAAGGAAGTGTTTCTTTCCATTTATGTGAAAATTAGGCAAGCTTACTAGCATTATATGTTTATGACTTTTGAAAAATGTGGATTTACTACATAGTAAGTAACTACTATATAGCAGCTGAATTACACAAATTCCTCTTCTAGTAGAAGTGCTTTGGTCTGGACTGAGCAGGAAGGGGAAATTTAAAACTCTCTGATATGATGGCTCACATGATGCAAATTAAAGAAAAATGGCCTCATGACTGAAGACTGCAAATGTGTAAGAAGTGGTGTTTGAAAAGGCAAAAATAACAAAACAGTGACGAGGAGCCCCAGGGCACTCTTGCAGAAGTTGAAGAGTGTCAGAGGAGAACCTAAAATGCAGGAGCCAGGGCAAGTGTTCTAATCACTGAGCTATGGCCAAAGGGAATTCAGTATGGGCATCTTCTTGCTGCTTGTCCTGTTCTTAAAGAAACGTTACACCTTCTCTGATTTTGAGGAAAGAAACTTGAACATCTAAGAAGAAAGAGTTTGAGGCAGTGTGTGACATTCAGTGTGTTCACTGTAGCTGTGAGTTTGGTTGTTAAGCCCATGGGAAGGGAAAATTTAAAACATACCTCTACTCAGTGAAAGTTTCCATAGGCTAGCTGTGTGTTGGTTTGCGAACTGTGTTCTGAACTGCCCAAACTTTCCCGATATGTTGTGAAGGAGCCTACATTTGTATGTCAGGTCTATGAATTTCATTTGGGAGAAAGGTGCTTGATGCTTTTTTGATGTATTTTAATGCTCTGTGGGGGCTGTTACGAATCAAGTCCTAAACACTCAGATCAAATGTTCATTATATATTCCCTACTATCTGAATAACCGACTGAAAAGATAAAATTGACCTGCCATGCATCAGGTAAGATTCTGTTGCAAAAATGCGAACAGACTGCAGTTCTTTGGGTTACCATTCAGCTGCATAAGCAATGGTTTCCTTTTCTTCTCCCCCCCCAAAAAATTTCTGATTTAGTCCTGAACACTCAATTTATAGTACTATATAAAGCAGAGTGTTGCAAAGGCAATTCTAATTATGTTATTCCTCTGTTAATTGCCTCATTTCATAAACTTATTGGTGTTATTTGAACATTGAGGTTTTTCTGTAACTTTTTAGGGAAAAAAGCTCCAGACTTACCTCAGTAATGCAGTACACCACTGCATTTTTATTAATTTTTAATTTTTTTTAAAACAGTTTAATAGATTTGACTGTTTAATCCTCTCAACTGTTCTTGATGTATGAAGCAAAATTTGCAACCACTTTGAAATTACTTCAGTTTTAATGATTGAAGTAATGCTAGATAAGTATTTTTTCAAATGAGAATTGTGTGGTATGGATGCTAATGGTGATGCTTATCCATGTTGACTTCTTCCAAATTCTGTTCAGTTGGAGGGAAAGAAGAATGCCTCTAAAACACCTCTGAAAACTGGTCAATAACTATATATAACATATGTAGCTGAGTATATAAATGGTCTTCAATATCTGTCTATGGGCTGTATAACCTGGTTCCTGTTTCCTAAGACTGAGTTTTTGTGTGGTGTTCAAACAGGTTACTTCATGCTGTGGTCTTTTACTGCTGGTGCCGATGAGTAGTATTTCTGTTTCTGGGTACCTGTTCTTCACTGACTTTGTAGGAGTGTAATTTTTTTTTTTTTTTAACATACCGCTTCATGTCAAATTGTGTTGAAAGTCTAGTTATTTGGGAAGACTGATAGAGTGTGACTGTGTAAACAAAATTTCATTAGAAAGCTACTCCATCTGAGTATATTCATTAATGCATATCTTTAAAGTCTGCAGGATTAAGAGCAAAGGTGGCATATGTTTGTTTGATTTGTTGTCTGCTAATGTTCTGTGTTAACTTGTGCTGTATTCTGTGTCAGCCTGATAATCAACTGCATGTAATCTACTAGAACT